TATACAATTAGAATTTGTACTCATTCTGAATGTTAAAGTATATAATCATAATACTGTTTTTGTAACATCACAACCTAAAATATACATTAAATAAGTTTAAGCACCAAAGATGCAGCTGTATCAACTAAAATGTCGTATTTTATATAAGCGGCGGCCGGCAACTATAACAAGTGCAAATACATCGAAAATTACACATCATGTGACAGAATAAACATTAACAACAGCGGAGTGCAAATTGTGGACCAAAAGGGTTCTATAGCTTGTACAACTTATCATTGTGATTCGTGTACAGTAGATTGTGTTTCTATATTATCTGAGAGCGGTAGACGAAAATTGTATTTTCCACTTGGACGAATGAAAGACATGTTATATATTAATATAAACTACGAACACCCATAATGTGGTCAACGCCAGTCTGATGTCGTAGAAACATAAGATGCGGTAAATTCCGACGAAAACAAACACATTTGATTCACAACAATTAAGGCCACCCAATTGAAAATCCATGGAATGTTTCAGACGATTTATAATGCAGAGGACATAATAAAGAAACGTATCACAATAAGCACTATCAATATATACTTCAAAATCTCAATAATTCCACCCAATTTAACACATAATATTGTGTAGTTTGAAAGGAATATACGTTATGAGCATCATATTACGAATAAGATAATTTTACTGGTCAAAAATTAAAAACATTATCCCCAAGCTATCATGGGCTGATGTGAGCAAAACGAGACAAGAACACGCTGCATAAAGTATCTGTATCCTATCTGACTTATTAAACACGAGAATTATTATAACATGTTTTTATATATTTTAAATTCATAAAAATTGTAATATTAGGTTTAATGTCCTGACGTTTTAATACAAGAAGCTTATAATTATTATATAATTTATAATAACTAATTTCCCTACTTATAAAAATAGAACAGTAAAAAAAGTACCTCAGTGGATTTGATCCTGGCCATTTTTAAGGAGTTCAATATAGGTAACTTTATGTATGTGTATATGTGGATTCATAGTAAGTAATCATTAGTGTGAGTGAATGTATATAAAAATAAATAGCAGAGCGGTCCCGCACATACACGCACATGTCAATAACACATTACACAAATATAAATAATAATTTTGTTTTTTTTTTTTGTTTTAAAGTAACAATCTTTTGCCAATCATATCAACTTACCTGTATATCCGATAACATTTCTAAAAACATATTTTAATTTGTCATAACATTTACTTGAAAATGACTTTCTTTCATTTTTAAATTATTTTTTTAACTTCAATATTATTAAAATTTTAAAATTCTTAATATTCAAAATTTAAAAGTCTAATTTTGAAGGGTTAAGGAGATCAATTTCACGAAAGTGGCAGTCATTTTAAAGAAAACTTCACGATAAATCTAAATATGTTTTCAGAAATTATATCCGGTGACTAGGATAGACAGTATAGTTGGGTATAGTATTTTGGTAGAAAACAGAGACGGAATTGAATCCTCTGAACTCGTTTTTTTTTTTAAAAAAAAACCCTTTTTAAATTTAAAACTAACCACGGACCAACTTTATTCTATTCTAATGAAATACAACTATTTTTAAATTATAAAATAACAAAATTTGTATTAGAATTTCTAGAACCATATGGTAAAAACAATATTTTATTGTATTTTAATAATATTACAGGCAAATGTCCAACTGTATAGTAACAATTTGTTTTTGTACAGATACAATATTAAACAATAACATGCTTAAAATAATATACAAAGTAAACACTTAAATTTTTTCAGCTGCGAGGAAAAACAATGAATCAAAGATTTAATTAAACGGCGTATTTGTCTATGAATCCATTTTTTAGAGTTTGCTATGTTACCGTAATTATATTATGCATTGAATGCTAGGGGCAACCAAAGAAGTACACGGGAAATTATTATATTATGCATCGGTTGCCAGGGGCAATTTAAGTAAGTATCTACTATAAATAAAAATAGGACAGAAAACATGACTTTGTGCCCCAGTTCAAAAACATATCTATGTAAATGACAACAACAAAGAAGTAGAAACAAGGGACGGATATGACTCTACATCGTTAAACCTCAATATACAGATAAAAGAAGAATTGGGCAGATAGTTAGAAAAAAAGAGAGAAATTTTAAAAGGAGCAATATTATGGTTGGGTGAGTAGAGACTCTGAAACTAACTTTAGCTTGTGAAGAAGAGGAGTCGAAAGTATTACATTGGAGCGTGGAGAGAAATTTAAGATTGGCCCTGAATCAGGGATCATTCCAACTAGATCAACTAAGCACTTGAATGATTGGAACTTTAGTCATGGGGAGAGCATTGGATAAAAAGAATGAATGAACCAGTACAAAAAAAACATTCTCTAAACATGTTCAGATATAAAACTGCCAGAAGAAGCAAACTGGTCCAAAGTACAGACACTCAAGTATAGGCATTGGGAAGGAACAGAAGAGGATTTTAAAGAAGCGGATTGTTTTAATTGATGTGCGATCCTTAACTCAACTCAAATCATTTTCAGTGCCTTACACAAAATCTCTTCTATGTGAAATCCAGGATTAAAATGCGGGATATACAAAACCAAAGATCACGAACAGAAATATTAGCGCGGGTGGAACAGTAATACCATGAATATTATAAGCAAAATTAGGGTGATCACTGATGAAGGCAGCGTGAGAAGGACTTAATTTTGTATTTAGCAACATAAAGCTGTAATTTAAATTTTTTTCTCAATCATTAAGACGATCTAAGTCAACTATAGAAGCTCGAGAAAGTGAACGTATCATTAAAAATAATTTAATATCGTCAGAAAATAACTCAGCTTCTTCACCCACCAGTATCTATTATACAGATATGAAATATAACAGTTCATCGAAATTCGAAACACAACTAGTCTTCTTTGAAAAGAACGGAATAACCCATATGTCCAGAGGCCTTAGAGACCTAGTATAGACCTAAGTAAGTATAGACGACATCAACATGACCTTGGAACTGAAAAGCATTTATGAGTTAGTTACAGAAAACTAGGTTACCTACATAATTGAGTTGTAGACTGATTTAATTAAATGTGATTAACATATTTGATAGCCCTCAGTACAAGTGACTTAAAAAGCTTGTCAACGTGAGAGATAATTGCTATTGGTCGATTAGTATTCAACTTTAAGGAATTTCCTAATTTTGGGTACTGGATTGATAGAGCATAGAATATAAGATACATTAAAGGGATTTTCAAAAGAGGACACAAACGTTCAGCAATCACTTGACTGATGTTGAACAATACACACCTGGTAGATCATCAGACCAGAAGATACATTGTTAAGGAGTGGAGCCTAATTAACACATCACCAAGTAAATTTTAGAACCTTAGGAAAATAAAACTTGGCGTTAGACAAAGTCCGTGAATTCGGCCGCACAATGAACATTTTGGCTCCAAATTTTGTCAAAAATTTGTAAGTCATTTGTAAGTTTTAGTAATCACAATTTGGTAATATTTTGTAAGTAGAGCCGTTTTCAATTATCCTCAAAAGCTTAAATCAAGGATAACTTCCACGAAACTTGGCGGTTTTGGCATTTCAAAGTTTTTTACCGTGCCAAAATGTAGTTGACAATTTTTAAGTATTTTTAAGCACGAATTTAAAATTTGTAAGTCATCCGTCCCTTAGTTATCCTTAAAAAGAAATTGGCAGTGCTTTATCGGGATTTTTGAACTTTGACTGTTCCAGGTAATTATTTCATGATGAATGTTAACTGAAAATAATGGTATAGCTGCATTTAAGGCATTATTACAAGGCTTATCATTCAAACTAATAGTAGCTGCAGGAATACTAGAAGCCATCTTATTTTACCTGACAAATTTAAAAGAAGACCCAGTTGAGTATTTGGATTTATGAAAAAATAGATTGAATGGTAATGGCGGTGACACATTTCCATGCGTTCACATTTTTTCTAAAATACAACACAAACGAAATATTTTAATGTATTGTACGAGATTAATATTGAAACGAAAAATTCAAATACATAAAAAGCTACTTACTGAATCACAGGAGCAGTATATTTTTAAAATCTCATATTGGACACTAACACGTGCGTTTCCCACGGTTAGAGTACTAAAAACTTTCTAAAAGCGTTTATTTAAGTCCGAATTCTGTGTGATTTATTAATTTATTGTGATTAATCAGTTTAAATTTTAAGCAAAACTTATAATATTACCTAACAATATGTGTTAACGCTATCCAAAAAAATACCACAATAAACTAGGTAGATAGTATATGATTTAAAATACATAAAATATAAAATTTTGAATTTCAATGTTTTAAAATATACATACCTATATAATTTATAATACACTATAATACGACTATATGTAGTTAGTGACTACATCATTAAAAATAATTTAAAATTATATTTTGTTAACGTTAAACAAGATGAATACATTTTTGTTAAATAAGTGGAAAAATTTACTGTACAATTATTAAATAAATAAAACAAGATGATAAATCGTCTTTTGTACTTAATGGTAAGCAAAATATAATTATATTTATGTACGAAGTTAAAATCAATTTCATCTTATTCGTAACAGTGGAGGGTGGTTGTCGGTGGTACAATCATTAAACGTCCGAAACAATATTGATATATCAAATAAACGTAAATTGTATTTATATTACCTAGGTACTAAAATATTTTCACTCTCCTGACAGCTAATTGTTGATTATAATAACCAAAGTAAATGCTATTTAATTTGATGCACTTATTAAATATAAGTATTCAACAATTTCTATGACATTATTTCATACCATAAAGTGTATATTGTGCAAGAAAACTTTCAATCCAGATATACTAACATCGTATAAAACCGTATGTATAAATATATACATTGTAGAATCGATTTTTTTCAGTATGTTTACAATAAATATTTTAGACACAATCAAACATCATGAACAGAAAACTTACAAAACCTAGAGGAATAAAGGAAATCACTAAACTTACCTGTAAGTTCGGAGGACAATGATCTAAAAGTTCTAACATATGTCGGATGTTTTGCGCGTCTTGTATGATAAAGTTTAATTCCATGTCGAATTCGCCGCCAACCAACTGTAACAAAATTAAATCATACTCTCGGTTAGTTTTGAATACATTTGCACATATATAGAAAGAAGACAAGATATATAGGTGTGACGTTGAGGTAATTTTCCTGTCTTTTAGAAATAGCTTCGTCAGCATAAAAAAGTTAATTAAATATTTACAGAGTGCGAAGTGTACCTACTGAGAAATCGATTGAACTAATACACGGTGTGTCGTGTTTTTTTATATTCAGTGGTACAATATAAATTACAAACGAATATAGTTTATTACAATGAACCCGTACATTTTCAAATTTAAAATAGCGTAGTAGGTATTACCAAGCGTACTGAAAGTTTTGAGATTAAAAGTATATTAACAATTGTTAAACTTTTTTTTAAATTTGACATAATATACTTTAACATAAAACATTTTCAACAGATTAACATAATTAAACTGATAAATTGAACAATGCATATCGTTATATAGGTAGTAGGTACCTATGTTTAGAGGATATGGATTTTTTTTTTTTTTTAAAGAAACCATAATATTATGGTTTTTACATAAATTATTTATTGGTAGTAACTAATAATTATTATAATAACGTATGGAATAACTCAATAACCACAAACTATAGAAACCACTAAATGTCAAATAATATCATCAATATTATAATTAATAATAATGTATGAAAATTCGTCTAGAACAGTTTAATAATAATTCCACCTTCACATTGCATAAATTCTAATTTTGATTAATGGCCAAACATGTCATATAATATCTAATCAGGATAATAATTCATAATTAACTTTGATAGTGTGTATCGTATATGTAAGTATCATAGTAACTCAATGTTCAAACATATTAAATACAACACAGTATGTATTATGGATTAAAAAAAATAATTGTTATATCAATCAAAACATGTTATTACTTTTTAAATAATTTAAAAAATCTATATAAAACATTTTAATTTGTGTACCAGGTATATACCAACATTTGAATAATATACAAATGAATTTTAAGCGCTATTATATTATTATTAACAAGATTAGTTCCTATATTTATATTATTAATGTTGTCTCTTCTTTTCTGTATTTGACACGGAAGATTTTTCAAAGGGATTGTACTTATGCATATATTAAATATTTATTAAGATAAACACTCAGTAGTTGGAAAACAGAACATAAAGTGGGGGGCCGAGTGGCCGAGAAGACTAAGGCGTTGGCTGCGACGCAGCAGACGCTGGTTCGATACCTCGGCGGCGGGTGGCATTTTTCTTCGGGCAAGTCACGGTGTCCGGAGAACAAGTGCCGCCATCCCCCACAAGGGGCATGGCAGAAACCTACGGGTGCCCCATTAGAAATTCTGCCAAAACACAACACACACGTGTACCAACCAACGCAACCTAAAACCTCACAGTCCCCTCCCAACACCCAATGGCCTATGTTGAAACGGGTTATCCAATTAAAAAAAAAAAAAAAAACATAAAGTATAGGTTGCTATAAGACGAACACTATAGTTATGAAAAAAAATTTAATGATCCAATGTAATAAAATAGCAATTTGGAATTTACAAATTATATGAATAAAACATCATCAATATTATTATTATAATATAAACGGCGTTTACAATCAAAGCATTATTTACGTTATGATGGAAATTCGTAATTCGAAGAGTTTGAAAGTTATCTCAACAAATACTATTTAATTAAATTCAGTATAGCAATGTAGTGGGTATATCTTTATAGTTTCAAAAAGTTGGTGGCAGTTAATTTAACAGATAGCGAAGGAGTACGCAATAGACATATTATATACGCATTACAAAAACCTATTTTCAGTTCTAATAAACTTAAACATTCTACTATTCAGCTGGAAACTGTATATTTATTGATTTTTGGCTAATTTTCATTCAACGGCAACTGATGTAACCATGGCTGAATTCATTACACACATTCTAGAGTTCAAAGCATCATGAAAAAGTTTTAAACTTATCGAACATTCAGTAAATTCAACCATCAAAATCCGAACATTCAATTTAAAAATAACGTTTACTTATCTAACAAAAATGTATATATTTTTAACAAAATAAATTTCAAATAGGCATGATAAATTAAAATATTAGATAAAATATGTAATCATTATATAATATTTTTATATATAATCGATTCATACCATATAATATTCAAACTGTTATCATCTATTGGTACTTGAGGATTACAATTTTTTTTAAATTACGACCTGCAACTGTTATAAAATTAAAAAATCATCACTTTGTATACAATTACAATATAAACACGTTAATGTGTATTTGACATTAGTTAAAATGAAGTTAATTAATATTATAATAAGATTAGGTGAAAAAGCTATTTGCTAAAAAATACCATATCCTATCAACCATGCGCCTGGAATGGGTTAAAAAAAATCAGAGACATACTATAACTGGTAAAAATCATACTGGACTAATAATTTACCAAAAAACAAACGATTTGTACTGTCATAAGTACTGACTATTGTGATAAAATAAATACATTTCATCTCTGTAGGGGCGAACCTAGGGGGAATGGATGGTCGTAATACCCCTCCCCCCTTTCAATAATTTGTTTTATTAATTTTTCAGTTGACCATTTATGAAAAACTGAATAAGTATACCTAATGGCCAATCGATTTGAAAAAATTGTGATAGTGATGTTGATTAAAAGGGTGAGGCCGTGAGAGAGAGCATAAATTCCAATGTTATTAAGTATACTAATAAATACCTAGGTACCACTTAAAATAAAATATTGTTTGACATACAAGCTAGTCGATATTTTCCACTTTGAAGGCAATTTATGAATCATAAAATACAGGGTGTCCCGTGAGGATTTACTCATTGCGATATCTCCTGAAATAATGGAGATATCGTAATTATGTTTTTTTTATTAAGACTCGCAGAGGTAAGCACTACAAATATTTTATTTTTTAATTAAATTAAATTTTTTAGTAAAAAAGTTAAAAAAAATTATTTTTTAATTTTTTAATTTTTGAAAAAATTGAAGATAGCCATTCTATAGAGTATATTTTTGTGAACATTTTGAGCTTTTAACATTTTATTTTCATTAATCTCATGATTTTTAATAATTTTTTTAGTTTATTAGTAAAACGTCAATAAACTGGTTTTTGTCCGGGCGGCGAGTCCCCCTCTACGGCTATTGAGTAAATCCTCACGGGACACCCTGTATATGTATTAATAAGTACCATTACATTTTTTTCTAGAAGCATTTGAAGTTTAAGTGTTCACAAAACTTATCAAAATCATTCTAATTTAACACATCTATTACAGGAGCAACCTTTTCAAACAAGTGGGCTATATAAAAAATTTTAAATAATTGGTGATCGGTCACTATTTGTTAAGGTATATTATTTTTCAGTTATTTAAATGCATCATAATAATTTTCTTTTATTATTTCTCCATAGGAATATTGTGTTTTTCTTCACCAACAAATAATTTACTTTGTATATAAAGCGTCAAAGGGTGTTAAGCCTTCATCTTTATGATTGCGAGCGTGAACAACGGATATTGGTATAGTTAATTTTGAATACTATCGCTCAATATTCCTCTAAAGATCGACCAGTCGATTGCGACCCTTTTATTATAGTAAATCCCTTAGACACCTACAACTGTATAGCAGACCGGTTCCATCTTGTCCACCTTTTTTTATTCTTAATTAACGCTAATCAGTATTTTTGGATGATAAGTATTACGATATGAATTTATTTAATTATATAATTTATTTATGATACATTTTAACAGAGTAATGATGATAATATGGCTTTAAAAAAATAACAAAAACAAGTCGTCCTGGGTCAATTTTTAGGGTTGGCCAAATTACCAACTTTGGCCCCTCAATAAAATCCTCTTCGGTAAGCCCTTACATCCCTAAGACGATTATAGTTAAATATGGGTATTTACGATTTACCGATTAATCAGTTTCACCTTCAAAATACTCAATTCAACATGCATCAGAGTGCATCACAGTAAGGATGTATAAAAATAATGGATTATCATTATCAGTATTCAGTAGTCATACGCATATTGAATTAATTCATTAAAAACTAAAACATATACAACTAATATGGTATGTAACTATGAAATGTTGTGTTTGGATTATTTAGATAAGCTACACAATTTTAATTAAACGATGCGAGCAAGGACTTAAAATTAATATGCAAACTGTAATGCAACTTCAACAATCTTAAGATAATGTTATATGACATTTATTTGTTGAAATAGTACGTTATAAATTACACAAATATTTTGTTTTTAAACGTTATTCTTAAAGATGATTGCCTCATTTAAAATTTGAATTTATATTATTATTATTAATTTATATTAAGCGTAAAATGTATCAATTTAAAATCAATAGGTACACATAATATTATATACATATACTAAATCAAGCAGGCCACTATTATACTAAAGTCACATTGAATAACACATTTAATGAATATTTAATAAATTATGCTATTGATTTTCACAAGATATTTTTGACCACTGACAATCGGTATTAGATTTTAATGTGAATGGATAACTTATTTAACGAGTTCTATTGGAGTTAACAAACAAGTAAATTGCTTAAAAGGTCAGGGGATATAACAATATTGGTATACCTAGAGAAAAGCACGCACTACCAATAATAAAAATTAAACGGATACGAACAAACTTAAAAACCGGAGACTTCGCTCTGCTATATATTACCTCGTTATTGAGTAAGACACTTTAATGCGGATATGTTAAATTCAAATTTATTAGTAAGTTACCATATTATTGTACACGCCAAAAATTATTCATACATCATTTATATAAAACAGTAATTTATCATGAAAGTCTCATAATTTAAAAGGCCTTAACCTAGAATACATTTATGGTTATGGCCGAATCAAATTATTAACATGTCCCAAAACAGCAATACGATAAATTATCGATACTTTATGTTATATAAGCCGATAATCCTATGTATAAATACAATATAT